GCTCAGCGGTAAATGGGCGAGAGGGCAAGGAGTGGGGGAATGGGCCAAAAATGGCGCAGACGTGAGAATACCTACATCTTTAGTGCTCTAGTATCGCAGGATTGCTGCGGATTCTTTAAGACTGCCTCGATCTACTTAAAAAATAGTGTAGAGCTGCGTCTGGTTCATTAAATGCGATCTTACAATTCTAAGTAAGCAATATTCTTGATCTGAAAATAAAACCAATTAAACAACAGTAATTTCAAGAATATTATTTGTTATCGAACCGGTAAAAGAAATCATATTAGGCTACTCGTTATAAATTAATATCGTTATAAATTAAGCATCTTGGGAAAACAGTGATTTCTTCTAGGCGAAACATAGATATACTTTCATTACCAAGAAATAAATATTAAATAAATATTAAAGAAATTGCGAGTTCGGTATATTGGCGATTGCCAATAAAGAATTGCTTACAATATAATATGATAAAAACAACTTTTAATTTATGTATGACGACTCTGTTCTTACCCATATTAAAAATTAAACACAGATATTAATATTACTTTTCGTCCAACTACTTCTGATATTTGAAATTTTTTTGGCATAAGCATACAAACATTCAAAATATTTTATTTTATATTATTTTATTCTTGGCAAAAATTATTTTCTTGCAAGATACATTACACTTTCCCAGATATATTTTGTATTTCGAAGCCGATTCTGTTCTCATCGTCGACTATAAGACACTTCTAGTTGTAAAGCATCTTTCTATAACTTCTTTATTGAAAATCAAAAAAGACAAATATTTGGTCCAACAAAAATTTGCAGTGTAAGAAGGAATAATTAAATTAAATAAATATTATTTAAACCGACGCACACCGATGAGTCCTAAGTTTCCGACTTTTCTTGCGTACTCGTCTCTTCGTTTCTTATTTTTTTTTTTAACAGCATCAACTAATCGCTTTTCTCTTAAATTAATTTTTGCAAATTCAAGTACCTAGGACAAATTATTTCGACAATATCAATAAACCTAAAAATTTTGCCTACTACAGTTTATGACAGCATAAATTGTTGTGTTAAAGATAATCGGTTCAAATATGAGTCATGTACATGAGAAATAAAATAAAAATTAGCTCAATATTAAGTAGTTAACAAATGAGTTAAAAAAATATACCTTATTCAATTGCTCTACAGCATGTTGGTGCGTAATAATAACAATTAATGTTGCAATTATGTCGGCTTGCCTGCGAAAGTAAAGTAATAAATATTATTATTTAAAAAGGCAATAAGAACAAAAAAGACGCGGGTAGATAAAAATTATAAATATAAGAATATATACATACATATATATATATACAGGGTGTCAATTAAGTCCCGGAACGGCTGAATATTTTCTCATGTAAGGTATTTTTGAAAAAGGTCAAGGTCATTTCTGAAGTAATTTTTAACGAGGAATTTAACGGTGACCTTCAATTTGACCTTGAGCTTGACTTTCAAGGTCATTTCAAGGTTAGGTTAGGTTTTTAAATAGAAACCCCTATTTTTGATTCCAAAATCTAATAGCTGGTGTCAAGAGCTTTTCAAAACACTATAATAA